TACCTGGACTTGAGCAAAGCGTTCAACTGTCCCACATGACATCCTTGTCTCTAAATTGGAGAGACATCATTTTGATAGGTGGACCACTTGGTGGATAAAGAACTGGCTGGATGGCCGCACAGAAAGAGTTGTAGTCAATGGCTCATTGTCCAGCTGGAGACAGGTAACAAGTGGTGTCCCTCAGGGATCGGTCTTGTTCAACACCTTTGTTGCTGACATGGACAGTGGGATTGAGTGCGCCCTAAGCAAGTTTGACGATGACACCAAGCTGTGTGGTCCGTTTGATACACTGGAGGGAAGGAATGCTGTCCAGAAGGTCCTTGACACACTTGTGAGGTGGGCTGATGCCAACCTTATGAAGTTTAACCAAGACAAGTGCAAGGTCCTACACCTGGGTCGAAGCAAATCCAGAGGAGGGCCATGAGGATGATCAGGGGGCTGGAACACCTCCCATATGAAGACAGGCTGAGAGACTTGGGGCTGTTCAGCCTGGAGAAGAGAAGGCTTCCAGAATAGCAGCCTTACAGTATCTGAATGGGGCCTATAGGGATGCTGGGGAGGGAACTCATCATTAGGGACTGTAGTGACAGGACAAGGGGTAACGGGTTCAAACTTCAACAGGGGAAGTTTAAATTCGATATAAGGAGGAAATTCTTTCCTTTTAGGGTGTTGAAGCACTGGAAAGGGTTGCCCAGAGAGGTTGTGAATGCTGGTGGTGTTCAAGGCCAGGTTGGACGAAGCCTTGTGTGGCATGGTTTAGTGTGAGGTTTCCCTGCCCACGGCAGGGGGGTTGGAACTAGATGATCTTAAGGTCCTTTCCAACCCTAACTATTCTATGATTCTATGATTCTATGTTTGGTTACCACACTGTATCCTGCTTTCTGGTTTTCATTTTCATAAAGCTGCTACCATCCCCAAACTGTTCATAGCTCACATCCTTCAGGGATGTATCTTGCAGGTTAGTATGACTAGAATACACCCACTCAATAGTGTGTAAACAGTTTTAAGTCAGCTCTCCTGCTTCTGGATCAGTTGTCAAAACCACTGCTGGGTTCAAAAGGTTAGTTACTTTAAATTCTACATCCTCTTGTTCTAAAAGCACAGCCTGATATTTTAAGAACCTTCTTGGGGAAAGCCAATGACTGCTTTTTTGTTCCAGAATGGTTGTTACCATGTGATGTACAAATACAGTCCATTTTTGTCCCAAAGTATTCAATAAAATTTTCTATTAGAGGCTCTATTCCTTTTCTTGCTTCCACTTTTATAGGATATTTTTTCTGCCTTACTAATCTGATGTTTGGTTTCAGATGAATAGATACTGCTTCTGCATTTCATGATCATCCCACTGCTCCAGCAGCCCATACCTGGGAGGTGTATTCTCCACTTCCTCTGGTATATCTGGCTGGTTCCTGTAACATAAAAACTTGGGTCTACACAGCCTTTTCATCAGGAACACGTATCTGAATTTTCTTTCTTTAAACCTAATTTATGCATGTATGGTACTCAGTATATCTCTATCCAATAACAGCACGGGGCACTCAGGCATGTAAAGAAATTGATGGGTCAACTTTTTTCCCAATTTTTAAAATTTAAGGGTTGAAAGAAAGGCCAGGTTCCTGTCCATCTTGTGGCACCAATGACTGAAGATCTTTGTTTACTTAATTATCCTTTACAAGTACTTAGAATAAATAGCTTCTGTTTCTACAAGAAATTTTATTTTATCATTCCCCAACCTAAGTGTAGCCAAGCATTATTATCAATCACATGATGTTCTTTCCCCTGTCAGCCAAACATTCCATTCTCTCTAGATGTTAGTGAATTAGAACAGTTTGGGCTATTCTACTATTTTAAAGGCACTTCCACCATTGGTTGTTAGTTTAGAATTTAAGCCTACATAACTACACAGAGCTAACATTCAGCAGCAACATACTTACACAGAGCAAACAGGAGAACACCCCACCATAGCTAAACAACCAAACATCAATAGAGCTGTGAGCATATCCCCCCACACCAACACATCTTTCACCATCCTTCTCTCTTTCTCTTTTTTTTTTTTTAAGCAAACACGTCAGTTGGAAATAAAGCCAATGGACCATCCTCTAAGCCACTGTACAGCTCAAAGACAGTACTGCTCCACCATCCATATTCCTTCTTCTGATACCCCTGCACTGCTTCAATCTCACTACCGAGCTCCTTTACAAGGTTATCATAGGGAGGCCAACCTAACTTATTAACCCTCCCAGCTGATAAGGTAATTAACAGCAGGGGTGATTGTACTCTGTCAGTAGCAAGAGTCCTTGTGGCCAAGGCCTCCTGAGAAGCAACGTAGAAAACAATGCAAAGCTATTGAATTTGGGCAGTGGTTTTACTGCAGGGTTATCTTCACCTCCAATTTTCTACCAGTGTACCTGAACTCAAGATGAACACATTTCCCTGAGCTTGGTGAGCTCAGTGATTTTCCTGCTCACAGGGGTGGGCTTGCCACATCTTCAGCAAGGTTTTTTTCTGACTTTTTGATTGCATTTGGATTTCTGAAACAAAGCTACACATCCCCTGCTGACAGAGAGATACACCCCGCTCTGCAGGTAATTAATTGTAGATGTGTTCAGAAACAACCCACCAGTATTTTTCCTTACAGCTGAGTTGCATCTTCTGGTGCTAATTCTGAAGATTTTGTCAGTGACAAAGGACATCTGCAGACAGACTGCCTGGAAGGGAAAGACCAGCTACTTTATACCAATGTAAGACTGACTTTCATGGCTGTGTAGCTCTGAATGTGGGAGCCAGTAGTGATTTATGGGCTGCTGAGACTGTTCAGATTTGTGTGTGTTAAGAGCACTCCTGCAATTGATGTTTTTCCTGCCACAGAAAGAAACACACAGGTAATTAATTGCTCCAAGTTCTCACAGGCACCTGCAGCATAAATTTGATGATAAAGAGACTTAGCTTCTAGGTGAAAGCAAAAACTCTAATTCCAAGTGATAACAGAAGTAATCCATCTGGGACTGCTGACCTCCTGTGGTTATTAGGTGATTTTCATTTAAAAAAAAATTCTCCATAAAAAATTAAAAATAAGGTAGGAATGGATTTTTGAGTCCATTCCTCCAGCAAAAGTCAGAACAGGTATTAAGTACATAAAACCATACTTTAGGTCTGCCCCAGATAAAGTCTCATGATGACTGAAATGAGTAAATAGTATACCTTGTGTTCTATGTAACTCTTTCCCATACACAGAAGGGTAACAAAGCTGGTGAAGGTCATAGAGCACAAGACTTAATGAGGAACAGCTAAGAGAACTGGAGTTATTTAGTCTGGAGAACAGAAGGCTTGGGGGGAACCTTTATCACTCTCTACAACTACTTGAAAGGAAGATGGAGAGAGGAGGTGGCTGGTCTCTTCTTCCAAGCAACAAGTGATGGGACAAGAGGTAATGGCTTCAAGGTGCACCAGGGGAGGTTTAGACTGGATATTTGGAAAAAATTCTTCACTGAGAGGGTGATCAAGTATTGGAACAGGCTTCCCAGGGAAGTGGTAGAATCACCGCCCCTGGAAGTGTTCAAAAAATGTGTAGATGGGGCCCTTAGTGACATGGTTTAGTGGTGGACTTAGCAGTCCTGTGGTAACAGTTGGACTTGATGATCTTAAAGGTCTTTTCCAACCTAACTGATTCTATGAAAATGGTATGATGCTCATGTATACTTTTGCAACATAAAATCTAAGGTTTTTGATCTCCAATGCATCTTTGAAGAGTACTTTGAGGTTCAGAACATTTCCTAATGTCAAAGTATGCTGCTCTTTCCACCTGATTTTTAAACAGAAATCAGTCCACATTTACTGTGTGGATACACACTGATCTCACTTTAAATTGATTTAAATTTGAACAATTTCTGTTCTGGAGAAGCACAAAGGTTTGATCCCTTTGGTTGCACAGAGACTGGGAAGAAGTTGAAACAGGGTGACACTAATTTTAGAAGTATGTTGCATTTTTGTCAAGTCAAATCATCATGAACATTTAACAGTAATAAACTAAAACCATCTTTGATTCAGGCTTTAAAAAAGTTAGAACAAGTAGAGTCAGTGGTAATCCCATGGGAAGAAAATGCAGCTCTGCTTACAGATTCTTTAGGTTTGTCCTGGGTTCACCAGTAGCAGTCATCTTTTCTCCTTCTTAGTAGCTGGTGCAGCACTGTGTTTTTGACTTTCAGCCTGGGAACATCGCTGATAACACCAATGTTTTTAGTTACTGCTCAAATATTTCGTCTGACCAAGGACTTTCTGAGCCTCATGCTCCGCCAGGGAGGAGGGAAAGCTGGGAGGAAGCAGAGACAGGACACCTGACCCAAACTGACCCAAGAAGTACTCCATACCACAGCACGTCATGCCCAGGATGTAACTGAGAATTACCCAGAAGGGCTGGTTCACTGCGGGGTTGGACGAGGTATGAGTCAGTGCTCGGTCGGGCAGGGTGGTGAGGTGTTGTATTCTCTTCCCTTGTTCTTTCCTTTATCATTATTATTATTATAGGTGGTAGCAGTAGTGATTTGTGTTATACCTTAGTTACTAGACTGTTCTTCTCCCAACCCGTGGGAGTTACATTCTTTTGATTCTCCTCCCCATCCCTCCGGGAGCAGGGGGAGGGCAAGAAGGGGGGTGAGAGAGTAACTGCGTGGCTGACTGTTTTTAAACCACAACAGTTCTTTTTGGCGCCCAACGTGGGGCACAAGGGGTTGAGATAATGACAGATCTGACCAGAGTGTGTCTAATCATATTTGTGATAAGCATTCATTGTTTTAGATTAATAGTCACTCATCACAATGCTGATTTATTGGCTCTCAAAGTTGTTTCTTTTGATCTCACAGTTTCAGTATATTGTACCTTACTTACATCTGGTATTTGCTGTGTTAGTGTTTATCGGCTGGGGGCCTTGGGCTAAGGTTTTTCTTTCATTGTACTTTATGGTAATGACTTATAATAAAGGCAGGCTCCGGCAGCAGGGCGGGATGGACGTGGCCATGGACTTCTTGTACCTGGCTGTCCCACTGCTCTTCACCATCCTGGCCCTCATCCTCACCTCTGTCTTCAAAAGGATGCCGGGAGCCGAGGGGGAGCAGACCCGGGAGCCGGTGGCGGCCGAAGCGGCCCGGGAGAGCAGCCCCGGGGACCAAGCAGGAGCAGGGCTGGAGGCCTGCAGGGAGCAGCTGCCGGTGGAGGAGGTCAGGGCAGACGAGGAGGGGAAAGAGGTGGCTGCCGAGCAGCGGGAGGAGGTGGCGGAGGAGCCGAACCCCGAGGCTGAGCCCAGCCTCGCGGCGGCTGAAAGCATCCCCCAGCAGCTACCTGCCGAGCTCCGCAAGCCCGACACCCAGGAGGATGCAGAGAGCAAGATACCACCTTTGGGAGCCTCAGCTGGGTCCAGCCTCGGCAACCGGGACAAGTGGAGGATGCAGGAGACCACACAGCATTTCCCAGCAAGGCAGAGGAGGAAGAGCTGGACTCAGAAAAAGTGAAGCTGGTGGTGGGAGAGCCGGCAAGAACAGCAGCTACACCAGCCCCAGTGACAAGTACAGCAGCATCAGTTGAGAGTTCTGAAGGTTTTGAATGGCTTTTGGGTATCCTTGGGACCTGCCTGCTGATTGTGATGGGGATCAGCATGTTGGCACACATACAGAGTGTGTTTTACCCACCACCATTTTGTCTGATCTCAAAAGTTAAGCAGAGTCAGGTTTGGGTCTTGTCTAGGGTTATATGACAATATAGGAGGACCAAGCGGTTTTCCCCAAGGCTGGACAGTCATGAGTGGCAGGGCGTGTGGGACAATATGGGCAAGTATCTAGTCCACTGGGCCCCTCCAGTGCTTTGGAAGCATCGGAGATGGAAGGCAGCTATATGGAGTCCCCAGCAACAAGCTGCAGAAACTGCTGAAGGGGACGGTGAATAATTTTGGTCCTGGTGGGCCCATGGCACTTCAGGTCATCAGGGCAGAGATGCAACATAGAGATGGACTCATGATCGAGGGGTGGACTTAGCAATGGACTCTATTGCCCAGGTTATTCATGAGTGTGAACACTGCACACAGTCTCTCCTGCTCTGGAAGACTGTTACAAGAGATGGAGCCTGACATCATGGACCAGATGGACTCAGCAGCTTTATAGAGACTGGTCCATGCACTAAGATAAGAGTGCACTGAGATAAGAGTAATGGTATATTGAAAATGTGGGATCTGAGCATGACGCGAATGGTATGGAATAAGGGGTAGATACTATCCTGGGTTCAGCAGTAGCAGTCATTTTTTCTCCTTCTTAGTAGCTGGTGCAGCACTGTGGTTTTGACTTTCGGCCTGGGAACAGTGCTGATAACACCAATGTTTTTAGTTACTGCTCAGATGTTTAGTCTGGCCAAGGACTTTCTGAGCCTCATGCTCTGCCAGGGAGGAGGGAAAGCTGGGAGGAAGCAGAGACAGGACACCTGACCCAAACTGACCCAAGAAGTATTCCATACCACAGCACGTCATGCCCAGGATGTAACTGAGAATTACCCAGAAGGGCTGGTTCACTGTGGGGTTGGAGCAAGTATTGGTCAAAGCTTGGTCGGGCTGGGGGGGGGGGGGGGGGGGGCAAGTTATCAGTCAGCTGGTGGTGAGATGTTGTATTCTCTTCCCTTGTTATTTCCTTTATCATTATTATTGTTGGTGGTAGTAGTGATTTGTGTTATACCTTAGTTACTAAACTGTTCTTATGTCAACCCGTGGGAGTTGTATTCTTTTGACTCTCCTCCCCATCCCTCCGGGAGCAGGGGGAGGGCAAGAATGGGGGGGTGGGGTGAGAGACTGCGTGGCTGACTGGGTTTAAACCACAACAAGGTTTAAAGATATAAACCAGCCAGCCAGCTCAGGACTGCAAGGGGTGAGCTGACACACAGCTCAATCTGACAATGTATTTCCCCTATTCTTATTAATTAGCATCAGATAAATATGCCAGCGTGAGCATGCATTCTCCAAAATATCCAATATGCCTTTATTTTGAAAAATAGTATCCTTTTGATCCACTAAAAACACATCCCTCCCTGATAGGAAAACTTGTCAGGACAGCCACTGCAGCTGTGGTGAGCAGTCCCCATGACTATTCCTGGGATGAACAGGTCAAGTGACTTGTGTATTTCAGGTAAATGGTCAGTAGAACAAAAGGTGTCAGTAAAAGCAGCAACAAGATTTAGTCCAAGATGAGACACACCTGAATAGAGGTGTCTATATGAGCACTAAACATCTGAGATCCCAACAGAGTCATCTGAGAATTGATCGATGCAGACAACAAAGGCTAGAGAGCACTTTGTTCACTCTAAGGCAGTGTCATGGTTTAAACCCAGTCAGGCAACTTGTTCACTCACTCCCAGTGAGTGGTGCCGGGCTGACAACAATCGAGCCCCCCCCACCGGATAAGGGAAAATAACAAGGGAAGAGAATACGATACCACCGGCCAAGAAATGAGTCCCACCCGGAAGCCCCTGTCCTTCCAGGTAACTCCCAGTTACCCCCCACCCTGGGCATGACATGCTGTGGTATAGAATACCTCCTTGGCTAGCCTGGGTCAGGCGCCCTGTCTCTGCTTCCTCACAGCTTCCCCTCCTCCCTGGCAGAGCATGAGCCTCACAAAGTCCTTGGTCAGGGTAAACATCACTTAGCAACAACCGAAAACATCGGTTTCACCAACATTGTTCCCAGGCTGGAAGTCAAAACACAGCACTGCACCAGCTACCACAAAGGAGAAACATGACTGCTACTGCTGAACCCAGGACAGGCAGCTATGGGTTATTTTCCAGCTGCTTGACCACATGGGTTAGATGTCTGCCAGCTGATGGGAAGTGAGACAGTGATGACATATGGAGACATCAGTGCAAATCTACATTTGGGCACTAACAACCTGGACCTGAATCCCACCCACTGTATCTTTTTTAGTAACTTCCCAGGCTGGAAATCCTCACCAGCACACTGGATCAGGCCCACTACAGAAAATCCTGCCTTCTCAGCCTCCCTGAAACTTCTCAGATCTTCTCCTCAGCTATTTTCTGCTTTCAGCTGTACTGTGATTTAAACCCAGCTGGTAACTAAGTACCACTGAGCTGCTCACTCACACCCCCCACCCCATACCCCCTCCCCAGGCAGGATGGGGAGGAGAATCAAAATAATGTAAAATCCACAGGTTGAGGTAAGAATAGATTAATAAATAAAGTAAAATATTGTGATAATAGAAAGAATACCAGCAATAATGATAATCATAGGCCACAACAACAAAAAAAAACGAAAGACATGTGGTGCCATGTTGTCAAGTCACTTATTTCTTAAGCCCTTCATACTTCAGGCATCATCTTCCATAACAGAGAGGCTTGTAACTGCTTGGCTTGCTTAATTATATCACATTTTGCATTCATGAATAACCTGGGTGATAGTGTCCATTGTTAAGTCCACCCCTCGATCACAAGCTCATCTATAAGTTGCATCTCTGCCTTGGTGGCCTGAGGTGTCATGGGCCCACTGGGCTAAACATAATTCACCCTTATGTTGCCAATATAAATCCATCTGAGACAGTTCAATCTTAGCAGCTTGATCCAGGTTGTTCTGGTTTTCCTCAGAGGCCCAACTCTTGGTACAGCGCAGCAGTCCAGACGGGTTTACCTCTGCATTGCCAGTTACTCTGCTTCCATTGCTGCAGCCACCCCCACAGGGCATTTGCCACCATCCATGAGTCAGTATAGAGAGAAAGTACTGGCCATTTTTCTTGTTCACCAATATCCAAGGCTGGATGGCTTTCACCTCTGCAAGCTGACTCGATTCACTCTCTCCTTCAGCCGTTTCTGCAGCTTGTAGGGGACTGCATACAGCTGCTTTCCATCTCCAGTGCTTTCCTAAATTATGGCATGACCCATAAAGAATTTGCTGGGGAAAAAAGTCTGGGATATTCCTGCTTCGGGTAAAGGCAAACCCACTTGTGGGATTGCTTTCATTCAAGGACATGGATGTACTCGATGTGTAATGCAGGAAGATGGGAAAGTACAGTGTGTATCTCAAAGGGATTTAATTTGGGGGGAAAACAGCCAATGAGCTCAATTATATGGAGTTGCCTGCTATGTAACACTTGTATAGCCCATCAGCTAAATGCCCATCTCTGCCATTCTGGACTTTGAAAAGAAGATATGTGTTGTCATGATCATCAGCAGAGAAGGAAGTTGTGGGAAAAGCCTGTAACAGAAGCTGGAGTCTCCCAGAACTGTCCTCAGGTCACCATCGACTGACCCTGACTTCCCTCTGATCATCACCCCAAAAAAGAATGAATTTTGATGAAACCAGACTAGCTCAGCAGGGACCAGACAAGTTCAGTGGTGTCATCAGCAGGCAACAATACAACACTACACACCATCTCTCCTGCCCTGAAAGACTATTACAACAGATGGACCCTGACATTATGGACTGAATTTTTTTTAGGAGAGGATCTGGTTCAAGACCATCTTAAGAACTTGAACATACACAAGTCCATGGGACCTGATGAAATCCATCCGCCGGTCCTGAAGGAGCTGGCACATGACGTTGCTAAGCCACTGTCCATCATATTTGAAAAATCATAGCAGTCAGGTGAAGCTCCCGATGACTGGAAAAAGAGAAATATAACCCCCATTTTCAAGAAGGGGAAAATAGAAGACTCGGGGAACTACAGACCAGCCAGTCTCACCTCTGTGCCTGGCAAAATCTTGGAGCAGATTCTCCCGGAAGGCATGCTAAGGCACATAAAAAACAAGGTGCTCTGTGACAGCCAGCATGGCTTCACTAAGGGGAAATCCTGCCTGACCAATTTGGTGGCCTCCTAGGATGGGGCTATGGAACAGGACAGCAGTTGATGTCATCTACCTGGACTTGTGCAAAGCGTTCAACACCGTCCCACCCGACATCCTTGTCTCCAAATTGGAGAGACATCAATTTGATAGTTGGACCACTCGGTGGATAAAGAACTGTCTGGATGGCTGCACAGAAAGAGTTGTAGTCAATGGCTCATTGTCCAGCTGGAGACAGGTAACCAGTGGTGTCCCTCAGGGATCAGACTGGTCTTGTTCAACATCTTTGTCGGTGACATGGACAGAGGGATTGAGTGCGCCCTAAGCAAGTTTGACGATGACACCAAGCTGTGTGGTTTGGTTGATTTGCTGGAGGGAAGGAATCCCATCCAGAGGGACCTTGACACACTTGTAAGGTGGGCTGATGCCAAACTCATGAAGTTTAAGAATGCCAAGTGCAAGGTTCTACACCTGGGTCGGAGCAATCCCAGGCACAGCTACAGGTAGGGCAGAGAAGAGATTCAGAGCAGCCCTGGGGAGAAGGACATGGCGTTGTTGGTCAATGAGAAAATGGACATGATCCAGCACTGTGCGCTTACAGCCCAGAAAGCCAACTGTATCCTGGGCTGCGTCAAAAGGAGTGTCACCAGCAGGTCGAAAGAGGTGATCCTGCCCCTCTACTCTGCTCTTGTGAGACCTCACTTGAAGTATTGTGTCCAGTTCTGGTGTCCTCAACAAAAAAGGGACATGGAACTGCTGGAACAAATCCAGAGGAGGGCCATGAGGATGATCAGGGGACTGGAGCACCTCCCGTATGAAGACAGTCTGAGAAAGTTGGGGCTGTTCAGCTTGGAGAAGAGAAGGCTGCATGGAGACCTCATAGTAGCCTTCCAGTATCTGAAGGGGGCCTACAAGGATGCTGGGAAAGGACTCTTCATTAGGGACTATAGTAATAGGACATGGGGTAAAGGGTTAAAACTCAAACAGAGGAAGTTTAGGTTGGATATAAGGAAGATGTTCTTTACTGTGAGGGTGGTGAGGCAGTGGAACAGGTTGCCCAGGGAAGTTGTGAATGCTCCATCTGAGGTGGTGGTCAAGGCCAAGTTGGACAGCGCCTTGGGCGACATGGTTTAGTGAGAGGTGTCCCTTCCCATGGCAGGGGGGGTTGGAACTAGATGATCTTAAGTTCCTTTCCAA